AAAGGAAAGTCTATGTAAATCTAGGTTTGTACGAGAACGATAAGTGCAGCCTCTACCAAGTATCGCAAAATAAAAATGCGTTGCTCAAGGAAGGTACGACAAAGAAAAGCCATGTACGATCGTTGCACAGTTTCGGTATGCGGAACAAGTTTCCTTCGATCGCTGAATATATCTTTGCTCTATCCGTTTATGTTTTTGCGTAGTTGCAGTGTAATCGTGAGTTAAATACGCTCGTAAAATTGCTACGTAACGCAAAAAACAAATTTGGCGAGCGCGCAATCGCAGACGTTTAATTTTCAGACGTTTTTTCATTTCAATTGTATTTGCTTGCCAATCGCAGCAAAAAAAAAAAAAAAAAAAAAAAAAAAAAACATCTTCAAAATAGTCTCTCGCAGAGAAAAAACAAAACGCTATGCGAAAGAGCTGAGAAAAGGAAGAGAGAGAAAAAATAATATACGTATATTTAGATAGATAGATGTATAGAATAAAAAAAGAGAGAAAAAGAGAGAGAGAGAGAGACAAAGAAAATGATCAAATATAAGAAGTAGAAAAATCATGGCACAATTCGAGACGAGCTAAGGGATACTCACTTTTTACAGCTGCGCCCCAAAAGTCGCCAAAAAAGTGGGAAAAAAATCTCGTAAAAATTCGTGTCAATTTCTCACGTATATTGAGTAGAATTATTAAATATTTAATATATTTAGGCATATCAGTGGGTAGCATACTACTGATTATTATCAACGTCAACATGACCTCTTTTACAGCTATTCTTTTTTTTTTTCTGCTCTGATTAAGAGAAAGATAAAAAGATAGAGACAGAAAGAGAAAGAGACAGAGAGACAGAAAGAGAGATAGAAAGAGAAAGAGAAAGAGAATAGATATAGAAAGAGAAAGAGAGAGTAAACGTAGTTAGATAGAAAGAGAAAGAGAAAGAGAGAAAGAGTAGACGTAATTGGATAGATAGGAAAGAGAGAAAGAGAAAGAGAAAGAGAGAAACAGAGAGAAAGAGAGACAGAGAGAGAGAGAGAAAGATATGAATTTTTTCGTCTGTTTATCTAGTGAAACACGCACACGCGCATTCACTCTTTCGTTCCCTCCCTCCCACGCGCTCGATTCCAATCGCACCCTCTGCTCTATCCGTAATATTTTTTATCGCTCTGTAGAGCAACATCGGTGGACAAAGTTCTCTTTCGAATCGATCGTTAAATAGAAAAATATCGCTTGGTCCTCGGTTGCAGTTGGTCGCAGAGAGGCGGGAGATGTGAGAATATCTTTCTTTTTTTATTTTTTATTTTTATTTATTATTTTTTTTTTTTTCTTGTCTTTTAGGCATGCGCAATCACTACTCCAAATATGAAATAACTAAAGGCTCATGTCCACCTGCCTCCTGCCGTCGAGAGAAAGATTTCCCAATTTTTCTCCTTTCTTTTCTTTTCATACGTCCCCCATCCGAATTGGAACGAAGGCGAACGAAAAATACGACCACGGCGACGCCAGAAAGAAAGGAAACGAAGAAAACTTTCGCGTTCGCGTTCGCGTTCACGTTCGCGTTCTTTCCCTCGCGGCACGAGGCATCGAGAGAGGGAAGACCTATGATAAAAATGTCTACTAAAAAGAAAGCTAGAAAGAAAAAACCATAAGTAAGAAGAAATGGTTGGAATCGTGTATGGTACGGGTACGTATGAACCGCTATCCGTGTATATCTAAAATCGTGGAGAGAGCGAGAGAGAGAGAGAGAAAAAAAGGAAAAAAAGTGTGACTCGTCTCAATTTGCGAACCGAAAAAAATTCGCGGTACGGTACGTATGTATATATAGAATAGATAAGGGAATACGTAGTCGGTAAGGTGGAATGTTTTCGAGGAAAAATTACTTTGCTTCTGCAACTCCAAAAAGTCACCCGCAAAAAACGTTAGCTCGATAAAAAATTTGTATCATCGTATATATATTTTGGGCAGATTTTTCGCGAGAGAGAGAGGGAAGGGGGAGAAAGAGAGAGATAAAGAGAGAGAAAGAGAAAGAAAGAGAGAGAGAGAGAGAAGGGGCTGGGCGGCGCGGCGGGCGTCATTTCGTTTCGTTTGTTTTCGTAAGTACGGTAAAAAATTATTTTTCGTCCCCCTTTCTATACCCTTCCATTTTATTAGCAGCATCCACCCACGCAAAAATCGGGAGATTCTTCGCAAAATATACGCGTAATTACGAGGAGCGCGTGAAACGGAGCGCGCCGTTTTTAGATCGGTCGCGAAAACCCGGGAATGCACGGGATACGCCGGCATAATCGGATTTCCGCTCGGTTTCTCAGTTGTTGGTTTTATCGGCGCGCATCTACCGACAGAATCGAATCGAAGGAAAGCAGAAAGAAGAGGGAAAGGAAGCATGCGTTTGCCGGAGGAAACGAATGGAAGCGTTGGGGAGAAGGGAGAGGGGGAGGAGTTTAAAGGGTTTCGTTTTTTTATCGGAAAAAGAGGATCCTGTTCGTTAATCGCTCGATTTCTTCGAGACCGATATATATATATATAAAAGAGAAACATCGATTCGAGCCGACCTGCGAATTCAGGTGAACACATCGAAGGCGCGTGCATACACACGCAAACGCACGCACGCACGCACGCACGCATTCACACGCGCATATAGACACACACGCACACGAATAAAAAAAAATATATATATATTCTTTCTATATACCTAGAGGAGAAGACGTGAAGGTCATATCGATATATAAAAATGTTGCGAAATGCGTAATATATATAATAATATATATATGTGTGTGTTTATGTGTGTGTGTGTGTGTGTGTGTGTGTGTGTGTGTGTGTGTGCGTATGTGTAAATTTAGAATAAAATACGTAATTATCAATATCAAAGATACGATAAGTTAAATTACAAAGAGGCAGAAGATGGAAAAAAAAAGTAGGTCGGTGAATTGCATGCAAAGAACGAAGGTGCACGTATAAACAGTATATAAAGAATAGAAAAGGTTTGGTGTATATAACGATTATGTATCATTCCAACGAGCTCGGTGAGTGTAAGAAATTTCACGATATAATAACTCGTGCGTATATATATATATATATAGATTGAGGATCGTCGTTGATCGTGATCGGGATCGACGAATCTCTTTGCTCGAGCTGTCACGAGCTCTTGGATCATCGTTGCCTCGAACGGGTCAACATTCGATCGGAAAGATTAAATTGGATATTGGTATTCAAATGTTTCAAAGTGAACGTCTTCTTCACGAAGTACGAACAACAACGTGGTTTGTTCTTCCATCGAGCTTCCTACGCCTTTCCTAATCGAATCTAGATTATTCCCGGCATATTCTCCTACTTCTCCGACAATACCCGCAACAACTTATCTTTTTCCTCGTCCTTTCCTTTCCTCTCGCGACTCGTGACACGTTTTCCGTTTTTATTACTCTCGCATCCTGTATATATACTCTTCGACACACTCGTTCACGCATTCACGCGTGCACCGACCCGACGTCAACTCGATACCACCTTTCCCTTCGCCGATTCCAACCATTCATCGACGATAAAATTAATATTATTATTATTATTATTATTATTAATAGGAGATTAAGTGACGGAGAGATCGTGGCGTAGACGTATCGAGATGACGCGGGGAAGGCGCAGTAGTTGATCAGTAGTAGTTTGCAAGCGAAGACGAACTCTCGGTGAGTGGGTGCTCTCGTCGATCAAGGGTGCTCTCAGTGCAGGTGCTCGACACGATATATCGCAATCGAGTGTGACAATTGATATTTATATATATATATAGAGACACGTGAATATATATATATAGCGATAATAATAAAGGGTGCGCTGCGATAAATACGGTGCTGTTTCGAACACGGCGAATACTAAAATATACCTAACATATCGCTTAGATATTTGCTATACGTATACGACGGGGGAGGGTGCGCATAGAGTCGCCCGCGCTTGTCCACGCACGAATCGGTCTCGAATAGGTGCGTACGTACGTATACGCACGCCACCCCCTTCCCCCCCTCTATATACGTGGCCGAGTGCACGCGGCTGTGCTTTTTGGCTGTCAGGTGGTTGGGTGAAGCGAAGCTTTTGCATTTTGAACGGTGGTGATGGTGGTGGTGATGGCGGTAGTGGTGGTGACAGTGGTGGTGGTGGTAGTGCACAGCTAGCGAGACGCGTCTGCGTGCGCGTAGCTTCGTGCGTAGAT